ATTCTTCTTGACTCCCTTCCCATGCTATTTAGGAAATGTTTTTGTCCCCTCCAAGTTATAGATGAAGACCAGATAGGAATAGACATTAGTTGGAGTTATGTACAGGCTTTGGGGGAAAGATCGTTGCATACTATTAAATGATACACACACTCACACATGCATATACACACTTTGCAAAGATATACATTAATTCCCAGAGATGGTAAAATCTATATTTATATTTGAAAAGAGGAACATTGCCCCTACTATAACATAACTTGTACAACTGCTTCTGCAAACACAGAAATGTATCTTTCATTATTATACAAGAGGCAGAATAATCTGGTAGTTGAGAACACAGCCTCCTAGTTTCACATCTTAGCTTTGCCACTTACTAGCTGTAATTTTGAGCAAGATACTTCTATTTTTAAGACTCAGCTTCCTAATCTATAAATTGCAGATAATAATAGGACCTACTCTTAGGGTTGTTAGGAGTAACAAATGGATCTGAACACAGGAAGTCTTTAGCACAGTGCCAGGCATACAGCAAACACTCAGAAAATGCCAGCTATGCCAGTATTCAAAATAGTTTTCTTTTGTTTACCCTCCTGCTTTCAGGCTTTGATCAGGAAACTTCATGAGTGGTGGACATTAAAGAGCCATTTATCTTCTGATAGCACATCTTGTCTAGACAAGAACTAAAAGGAGATCTAAAAGTAAATGCATGGATCACTCCTACATTGCTGGTGGGAATGTAAATACTACCTTCTTGAAAACACATTGGCAATTTCTTAAAAAAAAAAAAAAAATACTAAACTAAACATGAAACTACTATTCAATCCAGCAATTGCACTCTTGGGCATTTACCCCAGAGAAATAAAAACAAAAACCATATACACAAATGTTCATAACAGTTTTATTTGTAGTAGAAAAAAGCTGGAATCAGCTCAGATGTCCTTCAATAGATGACCAGTTAAATTGTTGCGTATACATATATGGAATACTACTTAGCAATAAAAAGGATCAAGCTATTGATACATGCAACAACTTGGATGACTCTCTAGGTTACGTGTTGTGTGATTCATTTATATGACATTTTTGAAAAGGCAAAATTGTACAAATGGAGAACAGATTAGTGATTGACAGGTCTTAGGGATGGGGAGAGGGAAAGGAAGATGAGTGTGGTTGCGAAAAGACAACATGAAAGATCCTTGTAGTGTTGTTATTATCTTGACGGTGGTGATAGATACGCAAACCTACACAGTTGATAAAATCATGTAGAACTTAATACACACATACAAACACAAATGCAAATGAAGACAAGTAAAAATGTAAAACTTGGGAAATCTGAATGAGATAAGTGGACTGTATCGATCTCAATATACTGGTTAGGATATTTATTATACTATAGTTTATAAAATGTAACCATTGGTAGGAACTGGACAAAATGTATAAGAAATCTCTTTGTATTAATTCTTACAACTGTGTGTGAATTTACAGTAGTCTCAATAAAAATTTCAATTAAAAAAGAAAGAGAAAAAAGATTGCCCAAAGACTTCCTTCTTTCCCCTGCAAAGTAAATATCTTTCCCTACTTTTGGAGTCTCAAGAAATTCTTGGGCAGAAAGTTCTTCTGTAATCTCTGTGGAGGAAGGGAGAAAGTGTGAAAATATATCATGTTCTTTGGTCCTAACAACTTCTGATCTCAGTGGTGTCGTTGGGGGCACTGGCAAGGCACGTTCTGCCAATTGAGGGAGGGTAGGATGGAAGTTGGAAAAGACACTATACGTTTTTGAGACAAGGAATGATGTGATGTGTTTGGAGCCAGGTCACAGAAAGAATAACCCTGGTGGAACTCTGTTAAATAGAGTAGAGGAGATAGAGTCAGGAAATATGAGATGGACTTCAGATATCATTCCGAGGTGTAATTTGGGGGGTAATAAATAGTACATCCAGTTTAATAACTGCCCCTTTCTAGCCTTAGTGTTCAAAATTTTCACATTAGTCAGTCCTTATGTTAAGGTTTGGAATAGCCCATTTGCAAAACACCCATGTTATCTGGGATTCTAACTCATCTTAATTTTGATATCAGTTTATCTAGTTCAAGTTTATTCAGCTACATTAAGATCAAGGAGTAAAGGGATGGATTGTGAATTTTAGTGATAAAGGAGGGGGCTCAGGAAATGAGCAAAATATGTTGAGCTGCCCGTGGGGCAGGTATGACAGGATACACCAGTGGGGTTCCAGGCCATCCAGGAAGACACTCAAGGGCACAAGGGGATGCAAAATTTGCAAATATAAATAAATTGGAGCCAGGAAAGCCTGAAAGAGGAGGGCTGATGTTTGCATACCCAAGACAAAGACAATCTCAGTGACTTTCTAAAATGACCCCACAAGGAGGATTGCACGAGGTCAGGAGCTCGAGACCAGCAAGAGCGAGACCCTGTCTCTACTAAAAAAAATAGAAAGAAATTATCTGGACAACTAAAAAAATATATGTAGAAAAAATTAGCCAGGCATGGTGGCACATGCCTGTAGTCCCAGCTACTTGGGAGGCTGAGGCAGGAGGATTGCTTGAGCCCAGGAGTTTGAGGTTTCTGTGAGCTAGGCTGACGCCACAGCACTCTAATCCGGGCAACAGAGCGAGACTCTGTCTCCAAAATAAATAAATAAGTAATATAAATAAATAAATAAATAAATAAATAAATAAATAAAATGAGATTCCTTCAAGTATTTCATACATCTCATGATTTTCATGCCATAGTAAACTATGTGTGTATTCAAGGAGGTAAAGGAAGACAAGGGTGTTTTAAAGTAAAAACACCAGAAAACTTACATAATAGTTTTGAATCCATTACCCTCGACTACCAGAATCAATGGCATGGGTGGTTTCAGTCCAAGGTTGGACAGGCAGTTGCTGGGCAGATGTACTTGCAGAAGTATTAATACATTTTTGTGTGTGTGTAAGGTTATGGTGGTCTTTGTGCAGTGTTGTGGTTTTTGCAGTCTTTTGTGAGAGTCTTGTTGTCAGGTATATGTGCATGAGAACCCTCCCTTCATGGCCTTCCCTGGCTCTGTTTGTCAGGGCTTGACCCAACTGACCCCATTTTGATTCTGACAACTTTCACAGTTGTGAGAACAAGTTGTGCTCCTCTCTTTCTCACATTGCATTCGCTTTTCTCACATTGATTCGCTTCGGCAGCTTGCCATTGTCCATGGTAGGAGTCTTTATACCACTGAAGTAATCAAATGCTATAAACCAGAGCTTTTTCTTCCCAGAAAGCTGGTTGTTGAACGTTCACCAACATGTCAATATTTCTATATAGACATACAAGGTTTTCCTATTCCTGGTATTCAGGATTAATCTGGTGCCAAAATGAGAAAATCAAATGAAGAATCTATGTGTTAAATATAATAGACCATCAGAGCATAAATGTATTAGATCAATAGTTCCCAACCTTTTTGACAACAGAGACCAGTTTCATGCAAGACAGTTTTTCCACAGACGGGAAGTGGGAGCGATGAGATCGGCTGTGGGTGCAGGTGGGGCTTCGCTCACCCACTGCTTGCTTCCTGCTGTGCCTCCTGCTATAAGTCCCAAGTGTCGAGACTGCAGTAGCAGATTTTTTGATTTTCTGGGAGGAGTAATAGATAATGCCCCTTTCTCTCCCTCCTTAGTTTGGTGCCCACTGAAAAACAGAAGATCAATACCTTAACTTAATTACTAATGAACCTGATCAGAGGTCGCAACGTCCATCTGTGGTCAAACAGGCTTCCTATTTCCTTGCTTCTGAACAGAGGTCACGCATATGTTTGCTGGCAGGGCCAGACCATCCGGGCTATGAGTCCCCCTCACAGGCCCAGGCCACTTCCTGCACACTGGGGCAGTGTGTGCTTGTCCTGACTGAGATCAGGCCACTCTGAGTGACAGGAACTGGAAGAAAGAGATGGAGAGACAGAGACTGCATCCTGCACCCTCAGTTTCTGCTTCATAGTCTTGTTCACACTAATTGAGTAGGTCACATCTTTGCCCTCGGGCAGGGATGATGAAGGGAGGGAGGGATGAGAGGAGGGAGGAAGTCCTACTTCCCAACACCCAGAAGAGGCAAAAACTTCTATTTTACGGGCTAAGGTAGGAACTTGACTTGTGGAAGGTTTGCCCTACAATATATTTTATTTTATTCCCTTTTCTTGCTGCTTACTAAGATCAGACATTGGGACCACACAGTGCCAGACTTTTTGCTCCCTAATGCTGTTAAATGGAACAACTGAAGTGAAATGGTGGGAAAGTTTTCGAATCATTTTATGGGAAGCAGTGGTGGTCATGGTGGTATATTTTACCTAAAGAGGCATCTAAAATATATACTAGGCAGCTTTGATTTCTCTTTCTTTCTAAAAAAAATGTTAATGAAGACTGACATATCTACCAACGTTAAAATGTCAGATCCTCTTTGAGCATTTTAATCAAGCAACAAGTTAATTCATCTAAAAAGAGATAACCAGACCAAGCATTTAATTTAAATGACTCATTGTTTGGCTGAATCGGCTAGCTGCTCATAAGAATTGTCATCAGTTCTGCTGTCAATCCAGCAGCCCTGCAGAAGCAGACAGCCACCCTTTCTTTGTCAAGCCACAGCATAATAAAAGTTTGTATATTTCTAGTTTTATGTGGAAATGTTTAAGAAAATACATACATATATATTAATTTTAAGTATGCTACATTATCCCTTGTACTGAGCATCTTGAGTATTTTCTTTTGGGGGTATAAGCTAATTTCAGGCTTTTATGTGTCTCCTGGCTTCTCCTGAAGGTTTAGTCAGGTCAAATGCCAAACAGGAGATCTTTATTTTAATATTAGATTTGTCTAATAAACATGCCCTCCAAAGAATGGCTGTTACCTAAGCAGTATCACTTTTTGAAAGGCTGACTTAGGGGGTCTCTAGATTATGTGGAAATCAATTGAGGTTAGTAGTGACTCTACCATTGTCTGCAAACTATTTTCTCATATTTTCTCATCCACAGGAAATGAGGTGGTCCCTTCTCACTGTGCCTCAGGGCCTCACAGCTGGTACCAAGTGGCACCATTGTTGGCAGACCCAGGAGAAGGCCAGCGACAGGGTAGTCATCACTATGCCTCCGTCTCTGTGCCTGGGTGAGGAAACACTGACACGCCATTGTGAGGAGGCTTGCTGTCCTGAGTGTGTGGCCCCCAAGTGGACAGTACCAGGGCACCTCAGCTCTGGTGTGGACTGCCTGCCCTGTTCGCAGGCTCCAGCCCACACACCACTTCAGAAAATCAGTGCATTTTGTCTTTGGTTTGTTTGATGGACTTTGTTTTGGGGATGTCTCATCCTCTAAATCTCATTGAAAAAACAATATTGATTACAATTTTGGCAGAGATTATAATTACTATTGTTATTTTGCTACAACAGTCCTGTTATAGAAAGCACCTGAATAGGATGTTTAATGTAAATGATAGACTCTGGTTTGCATATAACTGGCATTAAATTTGCATGTTGTTCACTTATAGTCAACAATCATAGATGCCTGTTCACACCGTAATATTCTTTCCCCTCCAGAGAACTCGAGCACCTCTACTGTAAGTAAAACTTACTCCTCCTTTGGCTGTCTGTCTTCTTTGCTTTAAAAAATCATTTGTAGGCCGGGCGCAGTGGCTCACGCCTGTAATCCTAGCTCTCTGGGAGGCCTAGGCGGGTGGATTGCTCAAGGTCAGGAGTTCGAAACCAGCCTGAGCAAGAGCAAGACACCGTCTCTACTATAAATACAAAGAAATTAATTGGCCAACTAATATATATAGAAAAAATTAGCCGGGCATGGTGGTGCATGCCTGTAGTCCCAGCTACTCGGGAGGCTGAGGCAGGAGGATTGCTTGAGCCCAGGAGTTTGAGGTTGCTGTGAGCTAGGCTGATGCCACGGCACTCACTCTAGCCTAGGCAACAAAGCGAGACTCTGTCTCAAAAAAAAAAAAAAAAATCATTTGTAGGAAGGGCTCTGGTTATATTTATAAAACACTGACATTTCACAGATGATACAGAGATGAATAGACAGTTGAAACCCCACTGTTTTGGAGAGGTCAGGCTTGGAGTTCCAGCTGGTATTGTCATCATTCATTGCATGTTTATTAAGCAACATACAATGTCATTTTGTGAAGAAATTTTTATATGCTTACTATTATTGAAAACAGACTCTTGATAGTCACATAGATGATTGCAATTCTTTTGTTATTTTTTATAGACCTATGGCATCATTTAGAATTCTCCTTTGTCAGTTATTCAGCAGAATATTTTATGGACACCTGCCACATGCCTGGGACCATGCTGGGTACTGGGAATACTAGATGGTACTGGCGACCAAGAGACTTGGCTAAGTCTCCTCCCTTGGAGTAGCTTACAGTCTAGATGCAGAGATAGATAAGTAAAGTGGTACCATTCAATACCGAATAGTAAATGTAACTATAGGGGCAGAGTAGCCATCCTAGGTGGGCTGCAATTGAGGCTTGGTTACATTTAAAGTACGAAAACAAAACATTTGTGTCCTTAAGAATCTACTCTAACCACATAAAAGAGTGGAGAAGAACTCGGAAGTGTGTTTAAAATTGGATGTAGACACATTCAAACATATTCAGGGTATGTGTGTGCTGCACTTGAAGTGTGTTAGGGGACATGACAGAAGTCATATTGCAGGAAAGTGGAATCTGTATGATGAGTTAAATTAGCAAAAGGACTGAGAGATGGAGGGAAGTTGCTGTTTTATATAAAGAGTGGCAGTAGGCTCTAAACTCATGTGATCTTTTCTAGCATTGTGGATTTTCTGGGGCAATGAAAGTTCCTCTTGTTTTCGAATTCCAGCAGCCTGCTGAAGTGGAATCCTTTAAATAATCTACAGCAGAGAATAAAATGCATCTTCTTTACATTGCAAGTAGTTGCAGAGGTGTCAGAGCATGGGGAAGATGTCTAGCAGTAGTATCACAGGCAATGAGTGGCAATCTGTGTCTCCATAGGAGCCATGCAGAGCTGGGAGTGACAGAGGCCAGCGGTGCTGCATAGCCTGGGTTGCCAGAAGCCAGCAGAGGCAACACTATACCTAATGTACCTTCCCCATGGAATATCTCTATCTAGTTTTGCACCTTTGAACATTGTCCAAGGTCCCTCAGAAACACTGCAAGAAATGGTGTCATGCAAACCAGTGCAAATGGTGGCCCAGATTGACTCTTAAGCGTGTGCAAGACCTTCCTTGGGAACTCTGGTGGCACTTTGAGTTTTATCTTTATGAGCTTGTGGGGACTTAACACAATCAAGGTTTGGTTTGAATATTAATGAGACTGCCATTCTCAAACTGGGAATAACTCTTAATCCTGAATCCAATCCTTGTTAGCTTTCCTTATTAGCTTTCCTTTTCAGACCCATTCCAGATCTGCTTAGGTGTCCTTCCTGCTGGACCGACTAACTGCTAGTTGTCTCAATTCTCTTTCAAACTAGAATTCTGAACTGATAAAGCCAAGGACGCATTGCCCTGATATGCACATATCAGGACTTGTACGATGCAAGAGAGGATGATGACAGTGACAAATGAAGTTAGAATTCCTCTTTGGTGTGTAAAATAAGGCTCTTCCCTTTTGTAGGTTGTAGGTTGATTAACTTATGCAGTATCTGACATATTCAATCATGAAAGCAATTCCATGAAAGCAAGTCTAGGAATAGTACTTTGGAATTCAGTTCAGTGATAAACGTAAGAAATTAAAGCATTTAATAGACCAGTAGGAGCAAAATAAAAAGAGAAAAGAACTAAGATTCTAAGTTTAAAAATTTTTTCTTCACAAATATATGAATCTTCATTTTCAGGGTAATAAAAATGTACTCGAGGGGAAAAAAAATCCCCACAAATATGCACAAAAAAACCCCAGCTTGAGTTTTGCAAAATACAAATAAAACATGAACTCTGAAATACTCAGTCATTCTTACCTAATTCCTCCCCTTATTTGAAAATTAAGCAGTGTTATTTTCAAATTGTTAGGGATACTTAAAGGAATCTGCTACTGTACATTTAGATGGAGGTATTTTTTTTTTAATTAAAAAGAGATCTGAAGCCAAGTTTTCCTCTAACTCATTTTACCAGCCATCAGCACATATGAGTAAATAGGTACCAGGAGAGTTCAGAAGTCCTCTGCCTAGTTAAGCTTACTGTCCTTTCCCTTACATCAGACATCCACAGAGACCCTTTATTTAGGAGCTGTGGTATATGGGCCTCTGTCCTTCAATAGATTCTATCCCTTTGGCAGCTTTAAACAAGGCCTTAAATTCCTTGACTCACCTTCCAGTAAGAGGTAGCATCTATGCTCCCCCTCCTTGAATCTGATGAGATTTGAGACTTGTCCACCAACACAGTAGGGCATAAATGGTGCTGTGCGACTTCCAAGGCTAAGTCACAAAGGGCCATGCAGCTTCTGCCTTGTCTCTTGGAGGCCTGAGCCTCCAAAAAGTCCCACTTGCACTGGTTCCGTAAGAAGCCACACCACCCCGTGACCCCTGTGTGGGAGAGGCAACCTGTGGGTGCTCTGGTGACAGCCTCAGCTGGGCCCAGCCTTGCAGACATCCCTGCCAAGGCACCAGACGTGGGAATGAGCCACCATGGATCCTTCAGACCCATCATCTGCCAGCTGACCACCAGGTGACCATGAGAAACAGAAAAATCGCCTGTAATCCTTCAGAAATACTGCGATGTCATCCCATCTCAATCATTATTGCTCATATCAGTTAAAAAGTTCATTTTCAATTAAAAGATTGCAAGAAGAAACTTTAAGTGGAGAGAATTCAAACCTGCCCAAACCTCTGACCCACAAAATCAGGAGAAATAATGAAATGGTTGTTGTTTTGGGCCACCATATTTAAGGGTAGTTTGTTACCCAGCAATAAATAACTGGAACAATCCCTTCAGGAGCCACTTTTGGGAAAAGACTGTTGCACTCTGAAATTCTGTGTTCTTGTTTTTGAAATTCAGGATTGCATTTTGTACATTACATGTATGGGGTTAAATGATGTCAAAATTATCTTTCTAATACTAGATCTCAGTTACCTATGGCTTAAATTGGCTTTTATTGTCTGGTTGGGGACTTCATCATCAATAAGGAATCACGTGTGGCTTCTGAGTACCCAACTCCTAACTAATGAATGCATTTCTGGAGCTCGGTTGTTTGTGGACAGGGAGCTGTCTGTACTGAAAGCAACCACAGCTCTGGGAATAAACTCAGCTCCCCAGGTCAGTGCTGTTTGCAAACCAGCGTGGCAGGGCACGCTCCATCAGCCCTTCTGCAGGGCTCCGTCTCTTGCACTCGGCCCCTGGCGGCATCTCGTCCGCCAGCCCTCAGGCGCTCAGTAACATTGTGTTCGGGTTTCTTCCACCGTGCCTGCCACGCTCTGCCTCAAATCTTATTTATTTCTACATATTTATTTCCCTCTCCTCTACTAAACCGTAAGCTCCTTGGGAGTGCGGGGATATGTTTCATTAGCTTTCTATCATTTGGACGGTGTGTGCCGCCTTACAAGACAGATAAATTTTTTTTTTATAGTTTTATTTATTTATTTATTTATTTTTGAGACAGAGTCTCGCTTTTTGTTGCCTAGGCTAGAGTGAGTGCCGTGGCGTCAGCCTAGCTCACAGCAACCTCAAACTCCTGGGCTCAAGCAATCCTCCTGCCTCAGCCTCCCAAGTAGCTGGGACTACAGGCATACGCCACCATGCCCGCTAATTTTTCTATATATTAGTTGGCCAATTAGTTTCTTTCTATTTATAGTAGAGACGGGGTCTCGCTCTTGCTCAGGCTGGTTTCGAACTCCTGACCTCGAGCAATCCGCCCGCCTAGGCCTCCCAGAGAGCTAGGATTACAGGCGTGAGCCACCGCGCCCAGCCTGATAAATGTTTGTTGACTAAAGAGTGTTTCTTTCCTAAAATGCCTGCAGTGGCCAATGGATGATGTTCTGGCCCTAAATCTCCCGCGTGTGCAACGTCTTCTCTCCTTTATCTTTGTGATTTAGGATCACAGAACATGAGAGCTGGCTGGGGACACAGGTCCCTTCCTAGGGAGGAACTGAGAACAGGGGCTGCCTAGTGTGTGTGAAGGCTGGGGCTGGAGCCGGACCTCCTCACCGCAAGCCAGAGCTGCGTCCCCAAACTAAGCATCCCCGTCCTGTCAGTGCTTTACGGTTCTCTCTGAGCTGGCAACGGTGACAAGACACCATGAAGCAGCTGCTCCACAGATCTAGCTCTGGCCAGTTCTGCCTCTCGTACCACTGTCTCAAGTCCCTCAATTTTGCTTTTCCATCTCATCTCAGTTATTGCAGTTACACAGTTTTAACAACTCAGTTTCAAACATTAGTTTTCAAGTAGGAACTTGGTAAGGAGAGTGAGTGTTTCCTTCAAAAAAGTAGTCTTTCTAGTTCTCTCGGGCTGATATTACATGCATTCATTGATTCAGCAGGTATTCATACATATTTATCATTAGTATTGCCGGAGATCGCTCTGCTCTTTTGCTAGTTATTGCTAAAAATCTTTATACTCAACAAAATCATTACCCTTCATTTCATAATCAGAAATTTACTGTTGTCTTAGACCTGCTTTTAATTAATTAATTCATTCATTCATTCAGGAAATGCTTGTTGGGCTTGTGTATGCCCTGTCCTAGGAACTGGGAAGAGAGTGCTGAACAGAACAAGCATATTCTTGCCTTCGCAGAGATTACAGGTGATGTGTGTCTTGGCTGTCTTGATTCTGCCTTTCCCCTGCCTCATCTTTTCCCAACCTGAAATTCCCCCAGGGGACAAAAAGAAAAAAAAGAGCTGATTTTTCCATCCCATCACATTCTGTCATACATCCTAGGACTCTCTGCCACTCACGTTCAGTGTTCATTTGTATCTCTGTGTCTTCATGCAAGGCCCATTCTCAAACTCTGGAGCCTCCTCACCACTCCTCTGCAGAAAAAAATCCATGAATCCTTCAAGACTTAGCCCTGATACTCCTCCTTCACAGAGCTTTTCATACTCGGCCACGTTAGCTAGCTTTGCGTGCTCAGTGGCATAGGTATTCTTATTTAAGGACACAAAACCGCACATTCTTATTTACAGGACACAACTTCAGTCTAGATATATTTGAGCATATATGGGCTACGAATTCAAATCCAGAATACTAAAAAAGAAAAGTCCAGAAGAGATTTTACTAAAAGTTCTGTACACACACATGGTAAAAAATTCAATTGGTGTCGAAGTTCCAGACCTATTCTCTCTATAGAGGAAAACCACATTACAAGTCTGTTGTAATTGTCTCCTTCAGATATCATACTCTTACCCAAACATGAATAGGAATCCCAAGAATTTTGTGGGAAAGTCTGACAGAATAAAATGAATACAGAGAAGAAGCCAGAAACTATGCAACAGAACAGGATAAACAGGTGACATGTCCTTACCAGAGTGTAACATAGTCACAGCCTAACACTTGCTGACCACTCCCCTGTGCCAGGCCCCTGTTCTGAACATTTACTTGAATTATCATTTTATATCCTCACAACAAGTGCCCATGAGAAAGGTACTGTGATTATCCCCTTCCTTTATAAGATGAAGACAAATAAAGTTAGCTTGCCTACGATCACACACAAAGTTAGTGTCATCTGAATCTAATCCCAGAACTTGCATTTTAAACAGTCCACGTACTTAACGCCTGCTGCCTTCCCTATTTAAGATTATCCCGAGTCATAAAGGGCTAGTGGCATAAAAACGTGGGATATTGACACAGGAGTAGATAAATAGATTACTGGAATGGAAAAAAAACAAGAAGTTAAGAAATAGAATTTTTTTTTCCAAAATGGGTTAAAAAAAAGGGGTTTGAGCATTCCCAATTTACGTGGGAAAGGATGGAAACACCTAATAAACCGATGTTGGCATAATAGTGAGTGACTTTAGAATAAATCAAAAGTATAGTCCTTTCCGCTCCAGATCTATAAAAAATCTAAGATGGTTGAAAGCAATAAACTCTAAAAATATTAATATATTTTAAAAACTCAAGAGGAATTCAAGATGTCAAAAGGAAAAGAAGACATTTGACTACCATGAAAACGAAACAGGGCCCAGGTACAGTGATTCATGGCCTGTAATCACAGAAGCTTGGAGGCCAAAAGTAAGGAGGACTGCTTGAAGCCTAGAAGTTTGAGGTTGCAGTGGGCTATGATTGCCTATCACTACCACTCTAGCCTCCTGCTACAGAGTGTGACCTCCCCTCTAAAATAACAATAATGAGTAAATAAAAATGAATACAAAATGAAATGGAAAAATTATAGACTGGGAAAAAACATTTGTATTTACATATCAGAAATAAAGATTTTCTAACAAAATGATACGACAAAGAAATCTAAATAGTATAACCACAGAACCCGGTGTTGAAGTTGTTTTTTCCAGTTGGGCCATGGACCCCCACGTTGCAAGTTACATAACCTAAGCATGCTCACCCATCGAACCAAGTGTGCACCACAGGTGTAACACAAATGCTCATACCAAAGAACAGGGACTGAATTAAGAAGTGGATACCATGTAAGCATGACCCATGATCCAATCCCAGCATCAAGCCCTGGCATCAACCACCCAGCAACAAAATCCAGTCAGATCATGCCTCCCCCCTGCAGTCTATAAAAACTAGCCACATCCCCAGCTCAGGCAAAAACCAGCTGGAGGCCTTTCCCTCCCTTGCTTCCTTGTTAGTCAACTTGCCAATAAGCTTTTCTTTTCTCCAACAAGCCAGTGCGCATGGTATTGGCATCTTATGTATTAGGTTATTAAGTATGAATGCTAATTTCCTTAAAGTACCTTATCCTTAAAGTCTGACAGTTGATATCTCTGACATTTCACTTTCCACAGCTTCTATCGTTTTATTATGTGAAGGTACATCCTCCTTCTCCTTTCAAAACACATTGTTTGGCTTGTGATTATTCTTCAAAAAAAATTTTTAGAGCAATTTTTATGAAACGCATGGATAAGTTAAATTTGTGTTATTTTCCCCAATATGAGTTCCATCATGGGAACCAATGCAAGCACAGCTCGAATTATATACGAAGTGTTGGAAGGATTGTGACTAATGAATCAGCCAGTACCCATTGATGGTTAGAAAAGTCCATTCTGTGAGTTTAGTCCTTGAAATGAGCACGTGAGCAACCTGAGCCCAAGGGAGGATACTGGATGAGCTGGAAAGCTGTAGTGGATAGTGAATCATTCTCAACCTACCCACATAAATTAATCAGCAAGGTTTGATGTTATTATCCACAATATTGTGCCGTTTGAAACAATACGCAAGGTAACAGAAGCTGGATAAGATGGTTACTGCATGAGTTAAACGACATTCAAATAGTATTGAAGCTTGCCTTTCTTTGATGTCAGAAATAAAGGCAACCATTTTACACGGTGTTACACGTGATGAAACCGGACTCTGTTGACAAGCACAAGCATTTGGCACAGTGGTTGATAAAGAAGAGTGCGAATCCCACAGCCAAAACCGAAATATTCATCAAAAAAGCTATGGTGTCTGTTTGGTCGGTCCACCCATTGGTATTATCCACTACACGCTTTCATGAACTGGCCAATTGATCAGGTGGATGTTCTACTGCAACCAACTGATGAATAATGAGCGGGATGCTGCGATTAAGCAGCTGAGATTGTCAATAGAGAACATGGCAAATCCCTCTTGCAAGACCAACGCTCACCACTGTCGCACAGACAGTGCTGTCCAATACAGAGCTGGGGACTTGGAAACTTCTGGCATCCACCATATTCACCAGACCGTGCACCAACCTGACGACCAACTTTTTCTTCCAGCTTTGACCACTCTTTTGCAAGGAAGAATACTCAGTTCTCCAACAAGCTGTTGAAAAACACCTTTTGCAGATTCATACGCCCATTGCCCTCGGCAGCTCTCTTTGCTGGCTGCCCATTAAGGAGCTACGTTTCAGGCCGGGCGCGGTGGCTCACGCCTGTAATCCTAGCTCTTGGGAGCCCGAGGCGGGCGATTGCTCAAGGTCAGGAGTTCAAAACCAGCCTGAGCAAGAGCGAGACCCCGTCTCTACTATAAATAGAAAGAATTAATTGCCAACTGATATATACGTATAAAAAAATGTAGCCGAGGCATGTGGCACATGCCTGTAGTCCCAGCTACTCGGGAGGCTGAGGCAGAAGGATCGCCTCGAGCCAGGGTTTGAGGTTGCTGTGAGCTAGGCTGACGCCACGGCACTCACTCTAGTGCCTGGAAACAAACCGAGACTCTGTCTCAAAAAAAAAAAAAAAAAAAAAGGACTAACCGTTCAGCATGGCAAATAGTTCGGTGCAAACTTGTGATTAATTGTACTGCTTCCTTGTTTGAGATATAAGAAACTACACTTTTGATTTTTGAAATCAGACATTCATATTAATGAACTAATACATTAGAGCAACCAAACCCATTGATTGCTTGGTAAACAAAAGAAAATGAGCAAAGTATATGAAGAATGAAAATTGACAGAATAGGATTCTAAATGTCTAATAAACATAAGAAAAATTACTTAATTTGCCCAAGCAGTCAGGAAATTTTAAATTAAAATTGTATCTATTTTGCAGTCATGAGATTAGCAAAACCTTTAAAAGTGATGGCATTTAATGCCAGAGAAGCTCTCAAGGAATTCACTGCCCATCAATTCATGAGTGGATTAATAAAATCGTGGTATGTGTATACCATGGAGTACTATCCAGCTTTAAGAAACAATGGTGACATAGACCTCTTGTATATTGCTGGATAGAGCTGGAACCCATTCTACTAAGTGAAGTATCTCAAGAATGGAAAAACAAGCACCACATGTACTCACCAGGAAATTGGTATTAATGGATCACTAATCATTAATATCATTGTATTAATGAACATATAGGAGTAACATTTATCCGGTGTTGGGAGGGGGTGGGGGGAGGAGGGATGGGTATATACAACCACAACGAGTCAGAGGTGCAACCGTTTGGGGGATGGACGCACTTGAAGCTCTTACTAGGGGGGTAGGGGGGCATGGCAATATACGTAACCTTAACACTTGTACCCCATAAACACTAAAATAAAAAAATGTATCAGAATCTATATGTTTTGACCCAAGAAAGATATCTTTGATAGATTGTTAAATAAAAAGAAAAAAAAATTGCAGAACAGTACAAGTAGCACATAATTCCCTATTTGCTGAAGTGAAGCAAACAAAAGTAAGCAAATAAAACCCTTGTAGGTGTGCTATGTTGGTGGAGAAAGTGTAGAAGGACACACACCCGTCTGTTCCGTGGATTCCCTCAGGAAGTGGGCCGGGAGAATGTGGTGGGGAAGGTCAGGAATGCCCTTGACTGTTTAATTAAACACTTTGGATTGTTTAATTTGTTAAACAATTTGTTAAAACTTGTTAAACAATGAGGACATAACAGCTTCGTAGGTTTAAAAAGCCTCTTCTAGCGGGCGCTGTGGCTCACGCCTGTAATCCTAGCTCTTGGGAGGCCGAGGCGGGCGATTGCTCAAGGTCAGGAGTTCGAAAAAAAGCTCTTCTCTGAGCACTCCAAACAGCTGTTATTTTTATCTGACTGTTGTTCCTTGTGCCTTGAATGCTGCTTATGTTTTGTCCTCGCCCCCTTCCCCACTGAAGACAAGTATTCTCATCTCTCCAGGCCACGAGTTTACTTATAATGAAGCTTTTTCTAA